CTGCCTGGCCTGCTGTGTTCTTCCAGCTCCACTCTGTGTTATCTCTGACTCCAGCATCTGCAATTCTGGCTATCTCCAACTTTCTAATCTTGTTTCCATGTAGAAGATTTTCCATTTGAATAAATCATCAATGAGACTATTTTACTCCAAGGCTGTCATTTTGCTTCCTTTTCTCTGTTGATCTGATTATCGTTCTGTCTGCATTTTGACATGTCAATTTAACATAGACATCCGTTCAATGGGCTGGCTCCTCAGTGAACTGCAGGAAAGGTTTTGCAAATACCTTTGTGAAATTGACCTTTGCCCCAAAGGAAAACAAGTGGACATTAGTGATTGGGGAAAGTGCCTGGGAGATTTTCAAACCCAGTGTTGAGTTTTTGTAGTCCAAAATAAAAACTGAAAAGCCAGTCTGTGTGGTTGTAATATTAAACATTAACCAGCCAGAACAAAAGGTCTGAAGAACTCTTCCCTGGCTGAGGAAATGCATTGTGTAGTCAGGTCTGATTGCAATATGATTGTATATAAAACCCTGGCAGACACTGATCTCAAAGACAATCTCGTAAAATGGCACGCTGTGGTTTTTCTCATTGTTGAAACTCTCAATCTTACATGAGCCCAGCTATCATTCCTGCTTCAAATATTGGTCAGTTGCAGGTTTCAAAATGTTTTCATCTGTTCGGCAGAGAGTGGAGTGATAGAGCCAGTGTTCAAAGGTCTGAGGAAGTGACAGGGGAATGGCACCAAGCCATGATGCTCATTTGGACAGCCAGTACAAACATGATGGGCCAAGTGACTCCTGTATTTCTGAAATTCTGAGAGGCATCAAATTGCCTCATACCCTAGAATCTTAGAATAATAGAATGTAGAGGCCACTCGGCCCATGGTATATGTGCCAGCTCCTTGGTGGACCCATCCAGTCAGTCTCACACCCTTGCTGATGCTTTTTCTCCATTGCTCTGTAAGTCCTTTCAAGTCATTTTCCAGTTCTGTTACTGTTGCTTCCACCGACCAGTAAAAAACATGTTTCCTCACATCACTTCTGACTCACTCTAAAATGACTTCTGCTGATGGAATTAGCCCCACCCATTTCTGAAGGGGCAGATCCCTCATCCCAGAGATTCCCAGGATGGGGAAGTTTCCTGGAAGTCGCAGGGTGATGTAGGAAGCAGAAGAGGAGAGTCAGGCGGAGAAAGTTCCCAGGGCAGCCTCCAGGAAGTTGGTTCAAAGCAATAGCTCGGAAAATCCGACGGCTGGATCCCGGTTATACCAGAATGGGCTGGAGCCACAGGAATCTCCCAATGCAGCTGATTTCATATGGAAATCCTGGGAAAATTGAAAATTGCCCTCCGAAAAATCCCTTAAAGATAGAAACTTAAGAAGATTCCAAGTCATTTAAGCTTACTAATTACCCAGGGAAATGTTAAAGGGTTAAACACCTGACTGCCCTTGTCCCCAGCCAAACCCAATAGTCTCATCCCTCCAGAGATAACAAGGTGTAGATCTGGATGAACACAGCAGGCCAAGCAGCATCAGAGGAGCAGGAAAGCTGACGTTTCAGGTCGAGACCCTTCCTCATCCCTCCCTCCACTTTCCAACATATCTTAATGAATCATCAAGTTAGCTGCCAGATTCCCCACCCACCTGATGCCTGTCACCCACCTCCTGGCACCCTACCCCCTCCCCTTACACAATCCCAGTCTCTCCCAACACCAACACTCACCCTACCTCCACACACAGTCTTCCACAGGAGCTGTTAAAGTGGCTGGCTATGCTATTGTCTGTTTAAACTTGAAAATGTGGCCCGTTGCTGCTTTCAATCGTTGTTCTCCCTCCCCCTGATTCCAGTGTTGCCCAGACAGGCCTCTGCTGTTTACGAACAGCAGGCCCCTGTTCAGGAATCTGCCCAGTGCAGGACTGATCTAAAGGATCAGAAATGGGAGAGGGGCCAGTATTTGCTGAGGCTGGGTGACAAATCTCCTGCCCTTTAACCTGAATGGAGCTGTGAAGGAGTCGAACAATACTGGGGCAAAAGATTACTAGTGACGATCTCAAAGATACCCCTGTTTAACCTGTATATTGAATGTTTTCCTGTGCTTTTTGTCTTTGGTCAGTGTGCTGTGGACGAATTGCCAGGCCATGTGGCCAGTGCTCATCAGTTTGGACTCTCCAAAGGCAGTCACATGATCCTGTCCCTCGATGAGACCACAGTGAGGAGAAAGTAAGTGCGTTTGATCAATTGATCGTTGTGAGCGGGGCACCAGTGACCTCTACTGGAAAAGCAAAATCCTGCAGAGGCTCTGGAAACAAAAACAGAAGGTGCACAAAAGTTCTCAGCAGGTCAGGCGGGTATCTGGGGAGGGAGAACTGGTTCCGCTGAGAGACCGTCAACCTGCGACGTTAGAAACCAAGAGAACTGCGGATGCTGTAAATCAGAAACAGGAACGGAAGTCGCTGGAAAAGCTCTGCAGGTCTGGCAGCATCCGTGGAGAGAAATCGGAGTTAATGTTTCGGGTCGAGTGACCCTTCCTCAGAACCGGTAACTGTGATTCCCTCCTTCAGAGAGGCAGTCAAATGCCCTGAGCACTTCCAAGGATCATCTGTTGTTATTTATTATTTATAACATTCATCGGCGACCGGCTTAAATGTAAGACTCTGCACGCAAGGCCATTTGAGCTGCTTTTATTCAAAATCCTTCCGACCAGCTGCATCCCTAAAAGCAAAGGAAAACTGTTTACCCACCCTTTCACCAGTAGAGGGTGGCCTTGTCCTATCCATGAATAGTTACAAAACGGCACAGAGTTGTGCCAATGTCTGCAACTCTTTCCAAACACGACAGTGCAAATGAATTTGTTCATCTTTGAAACTTAAGTTGGATTAATGTTACCAACAGAAGGTGGACTCTCTTTGCATCAGACAGAGGAGCAGAACTAGGCCATTCAGCCCATTGGGTCTGCTCCACCATTCAATGAGACGTGGCTGAGTCTACATACCACCCCGTACACATGTGAAGAATGCCCTAGAGGAGATATACACCACCACAAATACTCTGGAGACGTAATTCCCCGAGGCCTTATTCATCGTGGCTGGTGACCTCAAGCAAGCCAATCTCGAGGGTGCTGCCAAAGTACCACCTACACATCATCTGCCTCACCAGGGGACCGAACATCCTGGACCACTGCTACACAACCATCAAAGACGCCTACCACTCCATCCCCCGCCCACAAAAATCACATCACAGTGCTGCGATTTTCCTCCCAGCTTACAAGCAGAAGCTGAAACAAGAGAATCCTTCACAAAAGGAAGTACATTGCTGGCCTCAGGCCAGCAGAAGACCATCTCCGGGACTGCTAGGGCTCGGTGGACCGGACCGTGTTCGAGTGTTCAGTGGAAAACCCAGACGAGTATGTCACCACCGCCCTGGACCTCATTAGCAAATGTGTGGAGGGCTGTGTACCAAAGAAATCAATCCAAGTGTTCTCCAACCAGAAACCTTGGGTGAACCAGGAAGTCCACTCCCTTACTGATGACCAAACGTGCAGCATTCAAGTCGGGTGATCCGGACCAATATAGGAAATCCATATCTGACCTCTGCAAAGCCATCAGGGAGGCTGGGTGCCAGTACCAGACCAAGTTAGAGGCCCAAATCTACCAAACAGACTCCCGCCGCCTACAGCAAGGCCTAAACAACATGACAGGATACAAAATGAAGCAAACTAAGATAGCAGTCAAAGACACATCCCTTCCTGATGTGCTCAGTGCTTTCCGTGCTCGGTTTGAACTGAATTCCAGTGGCACAGTGACTCCTGCCCCACAGTTACAGACCCACCTGTTCCCTCGGTCACCACAGCAGACGTCAGATCGGAATTCCTAGGAGTTAGCCCAGGGAAAGTGATGGGCCCAGACGGTGTCCCCAGCCGAGCACTCAGATCCTGTGCAGACCAGCTGGTGGAGGTATTCACCGACATCTTCAACCTCTCCCTCCTACAATCCACCGTCACCACATGCTGCAAGAAGACCACCATCATCCCCGTACCTAAGAAAACACATGCAGTGTGCCTTAATGACTACAGCCCAATAGCCCTAACTTCAATAATCATGAAGTGTTTCAAGAGGCTGGTCATGGCCCACATCAATTCTAGTCTCCCAACCTGCCTCAATCCCCTACAGTTTGTCTGTCGACATAACAGGTCCACAGAGGATGCCATATCCCTAGCCCTGCACTCATCCCTGGAACATCTGGACAACCAAGACACCCACGTCAGACTCCTGCTTGTTGACTACAGCTCCGCCTTCAACACTATTATCCCCTCCAGACTGATCTCAAAACTGTGTGACCTTGGTCTCAGCTCCGCCCTCTGCAACTAGATCCTCAGCTTCCTGACCCACAGGCTGCAATCAGTGAGGATAGGTAACTGCACCTCCTTCACAATAACACTCAACACTGGAGCCCCTCAAGGATGTGTCCTCAGCCCCCTACTGTATTCCCTGGACACCTATGACTGTGTTGTCAAATTCCAAATGAACACCATCTACAAGTTTGCTGACAACACCACCGCAGTGGGACTGATATCTAACAACGATAAGTCAAAGTACAGAAGGGAGATAGAGGGCTTGGTGACGTGGCGTAATGAAAACAATCTGTCTCTCAATGTCGACCAAACTAAAGAACCGATCATCAACATCAGAAAGAAAGGAGGGGAACACACCTCCATCTATATGAACTGAACTGAGGCTGAGAGAGTGAACAGCATCAACGTTCCTCAGAGAGACGATAGCCGACGACCTATCCTGGATTTCCCATGTGGATGCGACAATCAAGAAGTCACAACAATGCCTCTTCTTCCTCAAGCAGCTCAGGAAATTTGATATGTCCATAAGGTCCCTCACCAACTTCTACAGATGCACCATTGAAAGCAAACTGTCGGGTGCATAACGGCCTGGTACGGCAACTGCTCTGCCAGGACTGTAAGAAACTACAGAAGGTGGTGTGCACACCCCAGACCATCATGGAAGCCAACCTTCCATCCATGGACTCCATTTACACAGCTCGCTGCTGTGGAAAGGCAGCCAACATCATCAAAGACCCATCACACCCTGGTAATGACCCCCTACAACCCCTTCCATCAGGCAGAAGATACAGAAGCCTGAACACGTGCACAAGCAGGTTCAGGAACAGCTTCTTCCCGGCCATTATCAGACTGTTGAATGGACTGTCTAGCCTCAAATAACGCTGACCTTGCTAACTTTGATCTCGCCTAGCGCATGCCCTGTGCAATGTAACCTGTATGCCTCTGACTAAGTCATTTTGATCTGTACATCCTTTGCTTACTATGATCTGCCTGTGCCGCTCAGGAACAAAGCTTTTTACTGTGTTTCGGTACACATGACAATAAATCAATCAATCCCTTGACCTGATCATCCTCAAATCTACTTTCCTGCCTCTTCCCTATAAGCCTGGATTCCCTTACTGATTAAAAATCTGTTTATCTCAGCCTTGAATATGTTTAATGACAGACACCTGCACTAAATAATTCCACTGATTCACTACCCACTTAGAGAATACGTTCCTCTTCATCTCAGCCTTAAACGTGTGACCCCCCTGCCTTTTCTGAGGTTATGCCCTCTGATTCTGGAACATTTAAGGGCCACGTAACATAGGCTGCAGTCACCTGAACTCCAGGTGGAAAGAAATTATTGCTAAGGTAACAGTTTATGTCAGATTATAGGCAATAATGGTGACCTGTCACATACAGCAAGGTCTGTGAAAACGGTCTGCGTTGTCTGGTGGTCTATGGCTTTGTGACAAGGCCATGATAATGAGGGAAGGAACCTGGATTGCGTCTGTCTCTCTCTCTCTCTCTGTCTCTCTCTCACATCATCAGGATATCTCACAGTGCTAAATCGCTGATGAACCAATTTTGTAAACTCGTCACTGAAAGAAAATATAGCAGTCAGCTATAGCAAGAAGCCACAAACACCACAATGAGAGAAGTCAGCGATTTTTGTTTTTTCTTTTGAAAAGTAGTCATCATCCGAGATCACAGATACATCAGCGTTAACAACTCGTGAATGTCAGCACCTCTGACACTGTGGCACACCCTTGGTACGTTGCTGAAATATCAACACAGATAATATGCTCAAGGACTTAGTAAGAAGGCACCCATTACTGCACAGACAGAGATATCAGGAAAGGATTGACAAATAGGGCTTCTTTGAACTTGAGGCAAAAAAAAAACAAAGACTGATGGGGTGACCCAATAGATGTCTTTAAAATTGTGGAAGTTTTGGATAGTGTGGATGTTGAGCTCCGTAGCTTAGACGCCATCAATATAAAGAGTTATTCACCAAGAATTCCAACAGAGAGTTGAGGAAGAATTTCTTCACCTAAAGAGTGGTGAGAGTGTGAAATTTCCTACAGCTGGAAGGATTGAAGCAAATAGTGTTGCTACATTTGAAGGAAAACTGGTCAGGCATGAGGCAGAGAAGGAAGTAGAGCAGAATTTCCCAAATATTTCCCCACTGTGAACCTATTTTAATGCTTGAAAATTTATGTGAGCCCAGAGTGTGAGGGCCAGGGGGATTGGGGGTTGTTGGCTGAGGGAGTATGGAGAGTTGTCCAGCTGGGGCCAGTGGTATTGTCAGCAACTGTTTTGAAGACTGGCATCCTTCGAAGGGCTGAGTACCATGCACGTACTACATATCCTGGAACCTCAGCGCTGATCCCATGACTATCCCACTAGAATTTCTGGTCCATGGCCACCATTGCTGCCTCAGCCCCAGCGATCCCCAGTGGCAATCATAAGCCACAGTTTGAGGACCCTGGAATAGCAGGTTATAATGGGAAAAGGTAGGATCAGACTCAAGCGAAGAACAAAAACAGACACTGAATGACAGGAGGCCACGTGTCCTATTGAATCCCCTCTGGAGCGGGGCCTGGCTGAATGGCCAAATGAGCTTCCACTTATCTAAGCCTGACACCAATAATTGCATCTTCAGATGGGGGAAGTGTAAATGAAGAAGAAATGAAAGAGTAGAGGCCCTGTTTGGGTTTCCCCTCCAGCAAAGATGTATTTAATTTAATCTGCGTGTTGAAAAATCGCATGTTTCCGACGACTTGTATCGAAGAGTTCTCCAGAATCGCGGTTTGCAATGAAGTATTTTAAATGAAAAGCAGCTTAAACACATTTTACAGAGACAGCACACATGTGAATCTTGTTTTATGAAGATCAATATTTAGTGTCTTGTAAACCAAAAGATATTGACTACCAAGTGTGTGTTTAATTGAAAGATGCTGGTCACTTTAAGAAATGATGATTGTCCTTCCTGTTTTCCCTCAGATTTGCTATTCAGCTGAATATTAGAACTTACGCCTCCAGTGGCCTAGTGTATTACGTAGCCCATCAAAACCAGATTGACTACGCTGCTCTTCAGCTGTGGAAAGGACAGTTACATTTCCTGTTTAACCTCGGGAAAGGCACAGCTATGTCCATCATGCCCACTCCTATTAATGATGGCAAATGGCATACAGTAAGTCCAGTTCTTAGATCTTCTGCTTAACTGATTTGTATGATTATTCACTACACAAGGGACGGTAGATTGGTGACTGTTTCTGAACTCATGTTCCAGACAATGGTCTGGAGATAGGGCGGGTCACTATTTAAGACAGAGATATGGAGAATTTTTATTCACACACACGATCATGAGTCTTTGGTACCCTCTTCCTCAAAGGCTGAGTCTGATTATTTCTAAAGCAGAGCTATGTAGACTTCTGATGAGCAAGGGGTGGAAAATTATCCAGGGGCACGTAGGAATGTGGAGCAATTAGATCAGCGATATACTTATTGAATGATGGAGCAGGCTCGAGAGGCCAAATGGCTTAATTCTGTTCTAAATTTTATTCTATATTCTATATCCTATGTATTCATTCTATAAATATATGTTCAGATCCAACTACAACAGCTAGGGCATTAAATTTCGTTCAATAAAGAAATAAATTTGATACTGGCACAGACCCAGTGTACTAAAGGGCCTTTTTCTGTGCTGTTGGCCGCTATGACCTCTGCAGGGCAGGCTAAAAACAATATGCGGCATGTAGAAAGTCAATACCAAACTGACCAGTTTACTCTGGTATATACATCCATACAAAATGGTCACAAGAGGGTGCTATTTTATGCCTCCCTCCTTGAAAGCCATTTAAGTTATATAAATCTCTCATTATACATTTATTTACAAATGTAACAGCCTGTGGTTTTCTATTCTAAAGAGGATACCTCCTATCTTGATGCAGA